AATATGAATTTGAATAGCTTAAGTTGATAAGTCTAAGCTTTGAAAACCCAGCTTCATGCTTATTCTTTGGTTGAATGAATTCTCTAAGCATTAAGTCACACTTCAAAATAATTATTGTTACTTAACCCACCATCAGATGCAGTAATTTGATACTTAGGCATTGTGTTTTCTTGTTTGCAGAATAGACAGTGTTTATACATTGTCATTTCATTCATTGTCTTTCTTCAATAGCCAAGTGGAATTGTGTAATAATAGAAACATTTAAACAATACAGAATTCTGAGTTTTAATTAACAATCATTTACTTAGGTAAATACAAAGCAGTATAATACCTAACCGAAATTGTGCTTCATCAGTCACTTAAACCATCGACATACAACAGTATCATAATAACTTAATAAGGATCTTGATTCTATATCAGAACATTTTCTTAATTTTCTAACTTTTCTTTTACTTGTTTGAGGAAAGTATCATGATGTACGATTTAGCTGCTTGTAAAGAAATATAGATAATCATTCCTAAAAGGTTCTGAAGTTGAAGCTCAAAGGAAAAAAAAGAGCAAAATAAATAATGCCAAATTGAGTAAAATAAATGAAAGTTAGATTGAGATCATTTTAAAAATATTTACAGAATGATTTCCACCATCTCTGAAGTTTTCTACAAAGCTGTATATTTTAACTATTTCATTGCACTTAGTATTGCAACAGGCAAGAGCAAAAAATTTAATCAACATGATGCAATATGTTCACCCCACTGGTAGTAGATGGTATAAAAACAAATCAATAGTTTGATGGTTAAACATTATAAAGAATAAGTATAAAAGTAAACTTATTAATTAATATAGACTTGTAATAACTAAATTAACAAAATTAAATGGTGTATCAGAATTCAACAGATTAATCTAAAGTTTTATAAAGTGCCACATATAACTTAGTTTTTGCTTCCAAGGTTTTTGTAAAAAATAAAAACAAAATATAAATCTACACTTTTTGCCAAATGGTTTAATAGAGAATTTTGAACATTAACTGTAAAAGTGTTGGCCAAATACCACTAATATGTTTATTCAGTCAGACAAGACAATGTCATCAGTTAGGCTAGTGATGATGTTAAAGTTAGCTCTCTGGTTTTTAGAGATACATGACTCATTGTTCTAAATAAGGATGCAAGAATGTAAAATTGTTTGAAAAAATGTCAGAAAACTCTACTAAGCCCCTTCCTGTCCCACAAAATGCTTAAAAAAAAGTAGAGTATAACTTTTAGGATTTTATATGACATTAAAAACAATCAGTACAATGCTATTGGTAGTTCATCTATGCTCTTCATATATATTTACTCTTGTATTTTGTTTTTAACGTTTTGTCATTATGATTTTACCATGCAACATGTAGAACACCCCACCCCACACACACTATTTATTAATATGTTAATGCTGCTACTATTTCAGTTTTTGGAATTAAAGCTTTCATAATTTTGAGTATGTTGTATGAATATGTTCATAGAGCTAACAGTCAAACTTTACTACAGAGAAATGTAATGTAATAATGCTGTTGTATTGATTTAAGTACATTTGTGATTGAGGGATTTGTGAATTAATGAAATTTGTATATAGTTTTGATTCGACATTTAGAGGTACACATTTTTTCATGTGTGTTGATCTCCTCAGTTCAGAATTTTCAACAACTTGTTTGACTCCCTAGAAGTCTACTTGTAGTGTTTTTTTTGTAATAATAGGAACAATTATGAAAAACAAAACTACTTGTTCAATGGGCAACAAATAATGTCTTGGGTGTGGAAGATATGTCCAGATTTAAAAAAGAGCAGTGGGAAGTATTTAAATTGATCCAGTTTTTCCCATTTGGCTGCATGATAACATATTTATTTTGATAATGTATTGTTACTTAAATTTGTTTAAACTACTATTGCTTTATGTTGATTGTTGATACTGACAATACCCTAGTTCTGTTGATTGTCAGGACTGATGTACAAGCAACATGGTACTGAGGGATGGTTTTCCAATTTTTTTTTGTGGGTTTTATTGGTTCTTTTTTTGTGCTGTCCATAGCTTGCTGATTTCTAATCCTAAGTCTCTGTTGAGAGTTCTTTATTCCTGATGTGAATGGATTCTTTAAATATTTCTGTTTGGTCAGTTATTAGCCCTGTTAATAATTCTACAACTCTTCCAAACTACTTTGCCCTGTTTTAACAATATTTATCAATAGCCAGACAGTGTCCTTATGCTCCGTAAAGCATTTTTATAATAGTGTTTCCATTTCTATATATGAAGATCCACAAGATCACAAGGTTGTATAGATAAATCCTTTGGTTCTCCATTGATAATTTAGATGAGTTAAAATGATTTGTAGAATATTACTGGTTTTAATCCTTTCATGATAAGGCATTTTCATTTCTCAGGAACCAGTGAAAATTTGATTAAATATAAAAAAAATGATATATATAAAAGATAGATTTATAGTATATTTGATTGAAGAAAGGCCCTATGAACCATATGTAATTGAATTCATTAGTAAAAAAAATACCTTATGAAAGTATGCCCATATGGATCCTAGAAATAGAAGTAGTGAACATAGTAAGTGTGCTCCTATGTTACCTCTTGATGAAGATACACGCAAGTGCAGCAAAACATAGAATAAGATTAATCATATAAATAAGTTGTCCATATTAACAACTTCTAACAGTTTGCTGCATACTAAATATGTTTTTCAAGTTATGTCATGTTATTTTTCTGTTATGTACATTGTTGGAAGGCTTACCTGAATAATTCGAATGTCCTTCTTTTAAGGTTGTTCATTCATATGCTTTTATGACAAATCACTCCACAAATTAAACACCTAAAAGTTAAAGTAATTCGTTCTAAGAACAAATTTCATCAAGTCACCATTTCTATCCTTATCTTTTTAGAAATCAGATTACCTACAGTATCTTTTTACTATTGGGAATGCATAAATGTAACTGCTTTTTTTTAAATCACATAAACTCCCCAAAAAAGAACAACTTGAAATTTCTGAAGTTCTTCATTATAAAGTAAGATCGGGAATTATTGTAATAGCTCTTTATCAGAATTTATGAAAGCCAAGTAAATCAATATTTGCAATCTTTTTCAAAATTGAATAAAAAAAAAAAAGCTGTCCTTACACTATTGGTTAAATAGAAATAATGCAGTATGCAGATGTTAGATTAGCAATTCCTCATTTAGTGTATATAAGTCTTCATAATAGATCATATGCTACAAGAATATGTAGTTATCTTTTTCAGTGAGGGAATATTATTAACTCTTAGCTACCATACATTGTAGTTAAAATATCATTTTACACACTTTTTACTGAAAGCCTATATACTATCAGTTATTGGATAATGCTTTGTCACTTAAAGCCTTATTAGCTTGATATGAAGTATTTTTTTCTTGATAAGAAGCCTGTATTAAACCTATTACTAGAGAAATGTTTTCTTGATTACAAGCCTATATTAAGTCAAGTATGTTTTCTTGTTCAGAACTCTGTTCTAAACCAAATGTAATGTTTTCATTATCAGAAGCATATATTAAACCTAATAGGGATGAAAGTAAAGCAAAGTAGCCAAGACTGAATATGTAAATTGCCAAGTGGAGCAAGTCAAAATGTTTAAGTTTATGTTTTAACAGTTGTACTACAATTAAAAAACAAATATGCATATACATCCTGTATAAACAACACACTATGCACAATAATTGCAAAAAGCTTTTAATTGTACAAGAAAGTGTCAATGTAAGTTTAAAAAGTTCCTCAAACCAAACAGACAATACAAAATAAGCCTTCTGGTCCGATTGAATTAAAACCAAAACTACAAAGTATTTATTAAGGCTACTTGGAAATTAATTGCTGATACATTTAAGATCAATAATAGTAGGCATTTCTTTACACAATGAGCAATGGAATTTTGGAACAAACTGCCCAGCCATTTTGTTGAAGCTGATTCTGTGGGATCCTTTAAGAAATAACTTGAGATTCTTGGATCAACAATCAAATGAACAAGATGGGCTGAATGGTCTTATTTGGCAGTCTTAATCCACTCCATAATTGAAGGTATTCTTGGCTTTTTGGACTTTGCTTAACTGCTTAATAACTCCCCAGCACTAGGTGAAGTTAACCCTTCTGGCTTAATACTTTATTTCCCAGACTTCTCATTTACACTTCTTGCATTTTTATATAACAAACTGACAATGGACTCCTCTATAGAGATACTTTCTGTCACTATATTTAGCACAAAAGCCTTGTTCTCTGAAGGTGTCTTGCTGATTTTCTTCAATTTTCTATTTGCTTGTCCAATTTTTCTTAGTCAATACTCTTAATTGAATTTATAGGCATTGTGGCTTGGCAAAAGGGTTTGATTACTTAGCTGTGTTGAGAATAATTTAATATGCTAATCGTCTTTTGTATGATAATTATGAAGGACTTTTGTGCCATTGCTTCCATAATTCAGACAGCAATTACAAACAATACAAAAACATTGTCCAGGAATGTCAGTTTTCCATACCAATGTCTGCATGGCCTATTTAAGGGAAGGGCATTATTTACATGACTGTAATTTGCATTTATTTTTCATGGATTTATTGACGATGATTGCATCATATCCATGTTTCCAAGAAAGCCAATATAACAAAATGCCCATCATACAGCTTCGCAGTAAAAAAAAAAAAGTTTAGAAAAGGTCAGTGAATGAGAATTAACAAAAATATATTGTGACACATTATAAAACTATAAAAAATTATCTTACATGATTTATATGGATAGCAATACAAGAAAAGTCCCTTAACTTTTCACAGTTCTCCCAAAATTCCTGAGATGGAAAATCATGTATAAGCCAAACACATCTGTAATAAACATAATATAGAGCCTGTGTTTTTTGCATTTTAATAGATAGTTGTTCATCACAGTCTAACTTGCTTCTGTATTTTAGTCATGTGAGGGTGAATTAAGGTGATAAATTTCTGGTTTCTGCTTAAAGCAAGTACTTTATCTGAGGATGTTGAAAACAAGAGTGGAACATTTACAGAAAGCTCTTCAACAACTCCTTCCTCCACTTCAGCTCCACCTGCTTCTACTCGAAGATTTGATGCACTTAGTTTTATTGGGGGAATTATCTTAACATATGGATTCCTTGCTGTGATGTATGTTGGGTTCAGGTTTTATAAAGCTCGCACGCAAAAAAATTACAACAACATGTGAACCAAGTCACATCTGATGTATTTTTCAACAACTGTTTGATATTGTTGAAGCTTAAAGAGAAAGTTTCAAAACTTCCAGGAATAATCTATGTACATGTAGACTTACAATTGATGTATTAAATTCAGTAAACAGTTGATATTAAAGAATGAGATAAAATATTCCTTTCAGTTATGTTAATTAGTATATTTTTCTGATTGTGCAATAATTTACAGTATCCATAAGAGTAGTGGGGAAATGCTGTTTATTTTTATTCAATTATCTGTGTACATTTAGTCACTTGAGTGCAATGAACACAATGTTTTATAAAAATTGTGTTAGATTTTGAAGACATACATACAATATTTAATGGTCAGTAATAGAAATCATGTTCTGTGATTATCAGTGTTTCTAGATTTGGAGTCTGTGAAGGGTCTTGCATGTGTTTTTCACTAGTTTTAAAAAATAATTGTAATTTTGCAGTGTAATGCAAGTTTATCATGCAATGTAACATTTACTTAATATGAAAGGAACTTGCCAAATAAGCAACAAAAAACATGCATGCAATGCCAAATAAGTCTTTCAATCAAAGAATTATTTTCTGTATTTTTGTAAAACACTTTTGTGGTTATGAAAGTTGACTATGCATAAATTGAAAAATGTTTGTAGAATATTTTTTCCAGTTATTTTCAAGATTAATGTATCCAAGAGATATATGAATAAATTGTATTACTTTACATAATATCAGGGAACAGCCTGTTGCACTGATTCCTGAATAATCTTGTGCTGGAATAATATAAAATTGACAATCAATGAAATATTGAAAAGAAATTGAAATTATAATAGTTATGTTTAAATATTATTTCATCTTGGTTCATTAAATTCATGTGTCTAGAAAGTAGTAAGGACAGTTATAGAAAATTCATATTTGAAATGCTTTTTTTAAACTCTTCCACTGTGGCTGGGACGTATATTTCCAAGTGCACTGGGATACATACGTCCCAGCTGCAGTGAATGGGTTGAATAAATAATAACAGGTTTAAATATTGACAAAGACCATTAAAAAAATCCCTTTATATATATTCCATTAAATGCCTACATTGTATTTATAATTATGTTGTGAAAGCAGATGTTGAAAATAATCAGTTATCCTGGAAGCTACAGTTTAAAAATAATTCAGTAATATTTTCAAAAACTTAAACATTGAAATAAGATGATAAATTTGACAAACATTACAATGCAACTAGCAATATTTGTTAACAGTCTACTGTTAACCGACTCTGTATGGAAAGCCATAGATAGGCTAAGTCAGTCAGCTAAATAATCAGTTTGTTCAAGTAACTTTCAAATTTTTTTTAATTTATTACATTTTCTATTTTTCAGTGTTGTGGTTTAATAGTTAAAAGATTTATGCTCAAATAAAGTATGAAGAAAGCTTGAAATTATTAATTAGTTCTTGTGGGACTTTGTTATTTTTTTGATTTATCATCTTAGCTTAGTTGGAAATATAATCATACGGGTTTGTTAACAAAAATTTATTCTTTTTGTAATTTGACTGTCTGTTATTATCTAATATTTCAGAATAGCTCTGTATAATTTTTACACTGGAAATTTTATGTGAGAAGTATTCAAACATTTAGGCATAAGGATGTAAATCTGTTTTCAGGTGAAAAATTTCCTGTTACGAATGTCTCGTGTAATGAACTTTCATTTTCTATTAAAATGAAATGATAGGGAATTTATCATTAAAGTCAAAAATGTATGACCAGAAAATTTTAAGAATTCTCTTTGATTCAAAAAATAGCTAGGATTAATTCACTGTATATGATAAATAGATATTTGTTAAGTAGTTTATACATTTTATCTCGTAGCTGTTTATGAGGAAAATGGCTTGACATGTTGGAGAACAAAGAGTACCTTGAATTTAGTGTAATTTAACACCTGATTGCACACATATGTTAATAATTCTGAAAGAGATTAATATTTAATTAAATAAATGTGTGCTTTTACTGATTTTTTAACTTATTCTAATAAGTATTATCAATAAAATACTTCAGTTTACAGTTTGTGTGGTTAACTTTTGCATTTTCAAAACAACAAAGGTAAATAAAAACTAGCCAATGAAATGTTATAAAAATTCAAAAGGCATGGTAGTGACTTCAACCAAGTTAGAAGGATGGAGTAACACTGTCATAATTCTATTTACAGGACTCAACTTTTGGCCAAATCTGGGGTATTGCCAGAGTTGTTCTATATACTATTCATATATTTGGATGGGTAGATAACAAACTAGAATTTGTCCATTTCCTACATCATAGTTTGATTTTTCATAATACTATACTATTCTATATAACTATATTAATTTTGGGAATTTTGATGAAAGGATATCTATTTTGAAAGTCTTACATCAAGGGCATCTTTGTATTGAAATATGAGAATGGCAAAAATTCCATTGTATATTGAATCATATAAATTTGTAAAATTCAATTATTTTTTCAACACTGCTGATTTTCAACCACTATTACATTGTTCAATACAGTAACTTGAGCTACATTTTCTATGAGTGATTTACAAAGTATATGGCATGATTATTAGTTAGACATGGCTCAAAGGGCAATAAAACAACCAAATTAAGTAGAAACAGAAAAACTGTAAAAAAAAGTTTGATATGGCAGAGAGAGAGGTAAAAAATTCCGTTGTATATTGAATCATATAAATTTGTTAAATTCAATTATTTTTTCAACACTGCTGACTTTCCACCATCATTACATTAAAATTGTTAAAAATGCGCCTCACTAGCAATAAGTAGTAGGTTTATCCTTAAGCTAAGTTTTTAGAGTGCAAACCTAGTTACCACATCAGCACATGCCCCATCAAGTGACAATACAGCATATCAACTAAACAATAACCCTGTTTGGTACCAATGAAAATTCATTAGTGTAACCTAGTTACCACATCAGCACATGCCCCATCAAGTGACAAATACAATACAGCATATCAACTAAACAATAACCCTGTTCGGTACCAATGAAAATTCATTAGTGTAACATTTTGAAGTATTGTACAGGATGGCCCATAAAAAAGGTACTCTGAAATTAAATATGTAATTTGGTGTACCTTTTATAATTATGTTACGTTATTTCTTAAAAATTTTATATAATAACATTTATAAAAATTGCATGGTGGTCTACAGTATTAAAGTTGTAGACTTGTGGTTAATAATAATCATAATTCAAAATACTGGCATCCATAACTAGTTAAATTATAAATAAAAAGAAACTGTTTTTTTCTGCACAGGTTACTTAAATGCTGTTAAAAATAATTGAAAATCTAAATTCCCAATAATAAGAAAAAACTTTGTAAATTAAGTAGCTAATGAAACTGGATTGGAATGGCAATATTCATGTCATTGGCTTTGAAGTCCTAAACTTAAGGGAAAAACAAAAAAGTATTTTAATTAAATTATTTAAAGAATATATAAATATGATAAATAGTGATAAAAATTATTTTCAAACCTTGTAATCTCATAATACGATTGAATAAATGAGATCATAAATAATTCAAAATAACTGTTTAGGACAAGAACTTTGTGCGTGTAATATAGTTTATACTGTTTTGTTAAAATGAATCCTGACTTTTACATAACAAAAAGATGTAAAATCCAAAAGGCATGAATCCTACCCAGACACAGTGTTTGCTTTTTAAAAAATCGCTTAACCACTACGATATTGTAAAACATTAGTCACAAATAAATTTACAATTAACTAAATTTGGAAGCAGCAATAAAACTGTTTTTAATCAATTTTACCATTTATCCTTATACTTCCATTACTACAGGTGGTAGAATGATTGTTCTTGGCCAGTCAGTTTGGGGGTGTGTCTATTCAGGCAAGAAAAGCTTGCACATGGTGTTGTTTGAAACCACAATGTTTTTTTTGCTTGGCCTTATGGAAAAGTTGGAGTTTGTGTTTCAATACAAACAGAAGAAACATACAAAGTGGAAAGGGACTTTTAATTTTAACAACTTAATGTTTTAATGTTAATGTTTTACTTTGTAACTTTTATTTCAAGACTAATTTAAACTTATATATACTGTATATATACATATATATATAGGTAGATAGATTAGTCAGAGTTGTCACAAGGATTGTACAAGTGTTTGAGTTTGACAGCCATTACAATTTCACTGCCTTAATGCAGTGAGCAAGGAGGTTAGAAGCAAAATACATGTGTAAGTGACATTTAATACCATGTGTAGCACTGAATGTACATATTGTTTGATATAGCTCAAAACAGTAGAATGGGTTAGCCAGTGCCCCGTTTGAAGCATAACTTTTTCAGTCTGGAATTGCTGGCTACCTTTGCTTGGGTTTAATGTGTAATTTCGAATGTCAAACCTAAGTAACAAACCAGAGATGTGCTGTTATTCGTCACTTATATGAAGAAAACATCAGTTCATTAATCACTAGTGATGAATACTTCTATCTGTTTGTTTCAGTTTAAAAGAATCATTAATCTTCAGTTTCTAGTTTAAACACCATCACATAATATGATGGGAGTAGAGATAAAGGTGGAATATCGTACCACTACTGATTTCTCTGAAGTAATTTAATTGACGTTCAGTTAGAATGAAAAAATGAGTAACACCCCTTGAGGACTTTGTTTGTAATAATGACTATTAAACTTCTAAAGTTTATAGCGAGGATTAGTCACTAGTGGCTATAAACTGTAAAATCCGAGAAAAAACCTGGTCATAACACAAAGATGAAAAAAAAAGCCATTCACATTTTCAATATAAATCTACTTTTCTCACAAAAACTTTAACTCATTAGTCATGGTATCACTCCATGTTATAAGTAACATACAGAAAGTGCACTGAATACTACCCAGTATTACAGCTACCAGAAATTAGTCATACTACTTCTGGTTGCTGATTTTATGCAAGATACATGATGTATGTAACCATCAAGGATACTACAAAAACAAAACTGAGAAAGTATCCATCCTTAAAATGTCCTGCAGACATCCTGTATCTTATATTAATACAAATAATATGTTGTTTTAAATAATGTAACTCTGGAATTACCAATGAGGTCCACATTGAATTAATTTTTTGAAACTCAATTTTCAAAACTATCCATCAAATTTACTTGCGAGTCCATGACTTTGTTGATTACAGGGTTTTTAATAACACGAGTTACACAAAAATTGTAAAAAATATCTTCTGTATTACAATTAAATCCCACCAATTACTGCTAGAGCCTCCCTTGCACTTTAAATAGAAAATGATTACTTGATTGTTTTTGTCAGGTCTTTACATTTATTACCATAATAACCAAAAATAATAAGTTTACAAATCCTGATTAAAGCATTATTATTCCTACATGAAAACAAAGTAGTTAGCTATTTCTTCAATCAGTTTGTGGAATATTTTTACCATATTATATATATAACACATATTTGTGCGATCTACAAAGCTCTTAACCAGTCGATAGCCCTTTTAATTTCTGCTGTACAAGTTTCTTAGAAAACACAAGATACCTGAAAAAATTTCTCCTTCACAAAGGTAAATATTCTTCCAACAAATCACATTTTTTCCCCTGTATCTTCAATCAAAGCTCCAACAGTCCCCTATTTTTTCATCATATATGACTGGTTGACAACAGTACCATGCTGGCATGGTTTTAGTTATAAAACTCAGTAGTCAACGTACAGCTTCTTTATTCACAATTTTTCTATTTCCGTGACTCATAATTATTCCCACGTTTTTTGGACACTTATTTAGAAGCATATTTACTTCTGTTTCTTTGTTGAGAATTTCACTTTTCAATTAACAGACAGGTTTTAGAAAAACATCAAGAACTACCAATCATGTTATCTGAATAATTGAAACTATTATGAAAAACAGACAAGGACTTATTATTTTCTTGATTTAAAAAATCTACTGGTAATAAACTTTGAATTCATGTTTGAACTAAAGGCAACTTGTAGAAGACTAAAGATAGATATGAAATTCTCTATTTACACCTGATTTTATAATGGACAAATTAAGTAATGTGTGTGTGAGGAGAGGGTTAAACTAATTTTCACAAAATTTAGTTATTCAACATTCTGTTTATACTTTATAAAACATATCGGACATGCTATGGTATATGCAAGTCCAGACTGATTTGCTTCTTCTCTTTACAATCTACAGAAACTATTTGTTATAAAACAGTTTTCCACACAGCCTTTGAGCTCTAAATGATACTAACAATAAATATTGTATCTACATAAGTACCCTGCAACCTAAACCTGGGCAGCAAAACATACAGAACTTGTTAATAATTACTTTAAGAAACTGGCCGATGAAAACAAGTGATACAAAAATGACCTGCCAGTGTTTCTTTAAAAATCCCTGTCAATTTGTCTAGCACCAGCATTGTTACTCGTATCCTACTTCACAAAGGGTCAAGACTTGTGAAATAAGGTCATTATGTGTCAAAAGAAAATATCTAACTAGGAGATTTGTTCGATCAAGATTTTTTTTACTTTTGTCTTACCAATCAACAAAGACCATTTGTATACAATTTAATTCACTAATTTTCTTTAAACATCTTATCAAGAAAATTTACCAAAAACACCAACATTTTGTGAACTTTTAAGTAGTAGGTAACTTTGCAAGATTACGAATCTGTTTGTTTTTTCGTGGTATGCTAAGAATTACTTGCATATAATTATTTTTGAATAACTTAGACGAAAGGCGGAAGACATTAGAAACGTCATCCTCTACACTTGTATCTCTACAGCAGGCAGTTGCCATCCATTCTACAAAGTTTCATCATAAATACTCTGCCTAAACAACCTATCAAAGAAAGATTAAATCGTTTCTTCATTGTGAAAATTTGTTCTTTACTACTTCACGAGCTTTATTAGACAGCACTAACTTTGATTTAAATAATATTCTGATAAAATAACTTTTTTGGTATTCTAAACCTGTTAATGAACTTCAAGTTTTGGAAATTATAACCTTGTGATTAAGAAGGTGCCTGTCATGGCCTAATGGTTAGGGTGCTTAACTTGCAATCCGTGGGTCATAGTATTGAAACCTGCCACCAAAAATGTTTGCCATTTCAACTAAAGGTGTGGTGATACAGCGATATGATATAATTTATGTATCTTCACAAAATTTGGCAAGCTTTCAGTAAACATTCTTTTAGTACAGAAAAAAATCAGAATTTCTAATAAAGTATTTGGCTAAAAATTAATGATTCAATGAAGGAAGATGAGTATTACATGTTGTCTTCATTTCTTTTATCAAAAACATTACATGCAAAGTAACAAAATAGATACATATATTAACTACTTGATATTTTACTTCTCTTGCTAGCAGCCATTCAATTAATCAAACCTGAGAATTTTAAAAAGTGCCATAATGTGTGAAGTACTTAAATAAGACAGTGTTAGTAATATAAATAATAAGTTACAGACACGACTGACAAACTTTGTAACAAACCACTAGTAAAACTTCTGATTTACATATGTATCATATCGACTACTATGATGAGATGATAAATCCCACTATTTATTTAACAGTTGGTTGAGGATGGTGTTGACTAGTTGCTTTCCCTCTAGCCTTTCATTTGAAAATTAGGGGTGACTAGTGTAGATAGCCCTGAATTAACTTCTTGGTAGAAATTCAACAAATAAATCCTTAGGATTTGAACCAACTGCAGTTGTGAGAAAACCTGTTCTCACTACCTTGAACCATAATTTGTTTTTCAAACACTAATAACCTGATATCAGATTTTTCTTGAAAACAGTTGTCTGAAAATGGTTTTCTTTACTATCACACATTTTAATTGGTTTATCAGTCATTTTTTTTCTTCACAGAAGAATAACATTTATGAATATAGCTATTTAAAGTTAAATTAACTTCTTTTGATACAACATTAGGCTTCTTGTCCATTAAAAAATGAAACATGGTCTATTGTGCTATCAGCAAATTTTGAGGTAATTTATGTATAAATATATATATATTTTTTTTCCAATTAAAAAACTTTAATGTTCCATTTTTTTATTTCTATGTAGCAAGAAAGTCTAAGTTGCCAAAAAATAGACTAGTTTTGGTTTTACTGCTTTGAACAAACAAATTCCTTAACTTGTGCTGATCAAACAGTTGAGTTAAAGTTATTTTAGTGGCCTTATTGTATGTATTAAATCAAAAATAACAAAAGAACTGTATCAAAACATTTGATGTACAATTCTTATCTTAATTGTTATAACCTATTGAAAAACATTCATTTAGATTAAAAAAAAAGAAAAATGTGAATCTGAGTATATGAAAAAATGGTCACTTTTATTTAATGTCCTTTGAATAACAAAGTATACCAAAATTAAATCCTTGAAATGTAACTTTTTATAACCTTTTAAATAACAGGTGGTATTTTTGTGATATGATACTTATATATCTCATTACTTGTTTCCAATCTATACAGAACACAAAAAATATGAGACCTAACTAGAATATCTGGCTTAACTACATGTTAAATTATAATCATATTTCATACTTTGCCTGAGTATGAAAAATTGTCTGGTAATCACTTTGCTAAGCTAGTACAAGTATTAATGCAACAGATTCATGACAATTAGCTTTAAATTTTTTTGTAGACAAAAAAGATGCTAATGTTACTATAACAGTAACAATGTCCAAACATACTGTTCAGTAAGATACTGTTGTTAAAACACACTAGACTACAAATAATCACATTTTAAGTATTTTTGTGAAACTTGAGCAAGTTTGGCAAAAAAACAACAACAACAACATTTTTTTACTTAAATAATTTAATGTATTAATATCTTTTTTTGTCATTACTAATAACCTTTGGGGTCATCTTAGTCTTTTCCACACAATTGGAACTTATGATACCACGTGTTAAGGTTTGAAAATGTAAGAACTACTATTAATAAAACAACTATGACCTTTCTTTGGTCTTGACCATTCACCTCAATTTTGATGAACAACTACAACCCATAGGCTATTAATTTCTCAAAAATCAGTAAAAATATGCAAAACAATCAACATCTCAATTTATGAACATCTCAAGTAACTCAAGGGCTTGACCAAATTTGGTAACAATGGCAGCCATACAAACTTTTCACAAAACATATGGAAGGATTTCCATTCTCTATACCCTCATAAGGAAGAAATTCAAACAGAGAACCTGCATGTGACAACTTAAGAAACTTTGGGTTAAGAAGGAAGGGGTGAACACATTTAAGCATATTAAAATTGGTTAGTTCATAAACCTAACAAAATATGCAATAAAAACTTGATTATTAGCAACTAGTTTTTTGGTAAGAAGCTGCAGCTAGATCCAAAACAAGAGGATAACAGTAACAAAAAAATAAAATAAAAATGTTTACTAACAGTTTAGAAATATCACATTCCTGGATCACCAATTTACAGGAAACGGGAATGTTTACAGAACTGTCAGATTATAAAAAACAGAACATAAAAACATTAAAGATAGAAAACTTTTAATTGTTAAATGTAGAGTGGTGTTCTGTAATTAACATGGTTTATTTTATTAAATGTTCATCTGAGATTATCAGTTAAAACAAGTGACAAACAATAACAACCTCTGACCACCTACAATACTCTAGCATAATAAAAACCCGGGACACAAGACCTATTTACTTAATTGCACCATTTTAACTACTGATGAACCAGAAACTGAAGGAAATCTTCTTTTAAAACAGAACCACTTCCCTAAACATTCATATTAGAAAGTTACCCAAACCAAAAATACCTACTTATCTTAATGTCTCATACATTTCAGTTTACAATAACTTTGCAAACATAACATATCAGTACCCAGATTGAGAGAATTATTAACTCATTCTACCATTATGTTGGGGGTTTTTAAACCCTCCTTATGACTGAAATATTTCCTTCACAACTAGGATCTTTTCCTGATCTCCCATTGTTCATGGCTCATGTATTTATGTCATTTATATTGGCAAAATCAAATAGCATTTTGAATTAAGATATTATAAATTAAAACGTAATAAACTTAGCAACTGCTGCCTCTTTTTCAATATGACAAAAATAAAACACATCTTTTTATCAAATTTCATTTTGCTAACTATCACTACACTTCACTTTTAATAAAAAGAAATTATATTAATCATAGAACACTTCCCTACACTTTACAATTAATATACCCCCTGTTCATTTAAATGTTTCTAACTTGCTTGTATTTTTTGTACTCATGTTTTTTGTTTTTATGTAATCTTATAATATTGTAAACATTTTGCTGTTTCCTCTGGACAACTGATGATGGAATCTGTGCTATTCCAGAATATCTATTAAACATGTATTTAATGTTACTGTTATCCAAGGCATTTGTACCCAGTAAAGATTAATCTCATAGCCTCTAGTTTTACAATGTTCTTTGCTTTCAAGGCAACTCTTTAACTTAAAGGCAGAAATCACAAAGATTATAAAGCCGTATCCATCAGGAAATCAACAGAATACACCTGCTCAAACAACTTTTACAAAGAATATAATATTAGTCAAAACCCTGAAGAAGAAAGTTATACAAGTGGTTGACATATTCTCTAATAAAAAACTTCAAAGACAAAACAAGTTCCTGCCATCATGGATGAGACCAATAGTTAAAGTGTCCAAGATGTGAACTGGAACTTGCATCAAAGATTATGCAGAAAAAGTCAAGATGCTTACATCAATCCAGTAAAATGTTTCTTTGAAAACTAAGCAGCACAATGGGAACTAACTGTTGTACTTTTATCATCAATTCACAACAGTCTTTCAGAAATGATGTGAAGAGTTTGGAGTAAAATTATATCCAAGCTATTTTTATGTAAACTTTGTATTATTTTATACAATAAACTGATTTAAGTAATGTAATTTTTTTCTAAAACAAAGAATAAAAATGTTATTTTACATGAAGGAATAAAGTAAACTTTCAAAACTAAGATTATTTTTTTTTAAAGCGAATCCCAAAAGGGTTTCGAGTAAAATACCTTACTTCTGGGATAGGGCTGGTCCCATTTAAACGAAGCACTTCCCACACAGTGTCTTCTTCATCACTACTGCATGAATGTACACTTTCAGATGTTCTCTCACAGTCACTTTTAACCTCAACTTCATTGGTTGTTGTAAGACTAGCATTTGTTGCTGTTTTTTGCTGAATCTTTAATCTGAAATCTGGACCTATGCAGTCTCCTGAGCCGTCAACACTGAAGTTATCTTCAGAATCTTTCCAATACTCTTCAGCATCAGTTCTTTCTTTTCTCAGTAATGCACAAAATACACTCATATCTGCTCTATCAGATATGTCTCTGCCAAACACACCTTTAGCATCTTTAGGGACAATAGGCACAACTGAATGTGGGTGAACAAGATCAACAAACAACCTAAGCTCTGAAAAAGAAGAATGATCTGAATACGGGACAACGTAAATATCTTTGTAATTGACATAAGGATCTGATCCACATCCAACAAATCTAGCTGTTGGTAAAATGGCAGAAGTAGGGCATACTTTATTCCAATGCATCATGGTCTTGGCATTGATTATTTGTGTTGGAACTGCCATAATTTTAGAATCTAAATGTGTTGCAATATGACTAATGTCTAAAGTTTTCAATGTTTTCATCCTTTCTTCCGTGACACTTATTTCACAACCTGTTTCCTCAAAGATGCTTAAAAGAAGATTCTCTTTTCCAAGACTATCTATGCCAATTAAAATTTTTCTGTTCTCCTCCAGTAACTCCTTAACTTTTTCTACCACTGTTCGTGTTGCCTCCTCCTGAGTTTCAAACATACATTCTGGAGAACAGTAGGTGTTGTCTAAATATAGTATGTCAATAGTTGGTAGTAGTTTTACATTCAAAATTTCTGGCTTGTAACGAAAGTCACCTGTATACAACACATTTCCAAATTCTCCTTGAAACAAGAACATTACTGCACCTGGACAATGGTTAGCTTCAAAAAGAGTCACAGTAACAGTGGTGGATGAGGTTTGACTTTTACAAACTGGGATAAGATGCTCTTCATACAACTGCAAAGGTTTCACAAGAGTAGGGTCCAACTGTAATAATATAGTTTAAAATTACACACATATTTCAATAACAATTAAAAATGGTAATCTTAGAGTACAATCAACACATTATGTGTAATCTCTATAAATGTACAACAAAATAATATTAGTATGTTCTATCTTATGATTATTAGTTATTCTAAAATACACCAGTCAACATGAACTAATAAAATGGAATATTTACATGATCATGAAAGAAACAATGAATGCAAAAAAAAATTGTTCAATTACTTCTTTTGAGTACAATATGCATGAAAAAGCAAAATATACTTTTATAAAATATATTTAAAATATATTTTATTTATAAAAATATATTATAAAATATATTTTTATAAAATATATTTATTTTACAAAATATAGCATCAGACATATTTTGAGATATTTGCAATTGGTGTATATTTACAAAAAGCCTTATGGCACATGATGAACAATAAGTTCTAATTAAAGATGTCTCTAATACAAATAGAAAATTTAATATAACTTAAGGTGTTTAAATTTCATAAGCAAGTGTGGTCAGTCACATTAGGAAATGGGTCACAAGTTTTATAAACTTTAGTAAGGAGTAAAATTATTGAAACATGGATTCTTTATAATTTAATAGGTTAAAAGAATCTTTCAATAGTTTTCCTTCTAGTTTAACACCTACAACAGGCAGAGTCAAAAATCAGTTTTCTTCTTGTACTTGTAAAAGTAATACAGGAATAGGGAAATAGGTCAATGATAATAAAAGGAAATGGCAAGAAGGTCAAGTTCTTGGTAGTTGAAGTTCTATTACAGAGATGAGTTTGGATATGAGAAAAAGGACTTTATGCAGTTTTGATGATGGTGATGTAAAAAATGGGTAGCCCAAGAAGGTTATCCCTTGAAACTTGAATATTTACATGCTGAAACTATTTTTTTTACTTAAACAAGAGGGAATCTTCAATAGCTGCAGCACTTGAAATTCTTTTAGGCAAGATTAGAGTAAATTAATCTACGAGATCTTTTTTCCTTTTTATTAGTTATATTTGTGTGTGCCAGTAATATCAAGTGTGGAGTGTGCACATACCCAATTCAAATTTACTACTCATCACGATTTCTACCAACCTACCCTCAAATTGAAATTCTTTTAGGCAGAATCAGAGTAAATTAATCTATGAGACCTTGGGCATGGTCAAGTATATCAATCAAAAGGGTTTGACCTCCTGAGTCTAAAAATGTAATTAGATCTAAAGTTGGTCAAGAGATGGCAGAGCTATGAGCTAAAAGTTTGTACTTGAAAAAAACAACAACAAACAAACTCAGAACCATTCTACGAGCCGCTATGCCCCAGATAAAAAAGGGCATGGACAGTCTCGGTGTTTGGGGCAGAAGGTGGTAGACAAATTTCAATACTGAGAACAGAAGAAACAAGGTTTGGAATTTTAGAAAGGGCTCGCTTCTTGAGAAAAAGGTGAATTCTTGTTTTGGAAAACAAGGAGTATTTACATGTGACAAACTTGAGGCCTTTCATTATGTTAGAACAAATGATCTTGGTACTGGAAGAAATAAAAATGACTAGATTTAAGTGTTTAAAATTGTTAAGTGCTTGAAAATCATTCTTTAAGTGATCTTAGAGATGGAATAAAAGGTTTGAAGATGCTAAACTAAGTAACATGGTTAAGTTGAAGCCTCTGAAATTCAGATCCAAAGTGTTTTTCCTGAATAAGACATTTCCGACCAGATAAATAACCATGTGAAATAATTTTCCTGATAGGTGTACTGCTAAGTAAAATTATTTTAAACTTTTGTTGCCAAAGATTTGGGACTTAAGGGCCACATTTAGTTTGGTTTGATATTGTGGCTAATGGAGGACCGATTTCAGACACAATAGCATTGTGTTATGCTTCTCGTATTTTTATATGCATATATAATCATCCCATGATATTTCATAACAGTGTACATTTCTCATTAGACTCATACTTCTATGTTACTCAAGAGGATTAAAGTATAATACACAAACATCTGTATGGTTCTATTGTTTGTATTTTTGTGTTCAGTAGGTAAGATATATCCTAATATTTCCTTTTAGTTACTTTCATCAACAGTACTGATGTGATTCAACAATGATTATATGTTGTGAATTTGCAAATGAATTAACTGGAGACAGATCACACGTGGACAAAATTGAAAAACTGAATTGTAAATATTCAAGATAGACATGTTTCTTATAGACAAATAGGGTGACTGCAAGGAAAAACAAAAACCAGGTTGGCTAACAAAGGGTATAAGGTATAACATTAAATAAATGTATCATAAACTTAAGAAGTTTAAATTGACTTATGACTTGAGACTTAGAGAGTTGGTCAAACAGAAAATTAAGAAATTGATAAAGATATATGAAGATAGGTTGGCTAAAAATTTAAAAAGTAACAATAAGGATTTTTCTAAATACATTAAATGTAAGCAAAATGTTGGGATGGAGGTAGAACCTTTAAAGGATGATAAAAGAAGGCTCATGTCTGATGATTAAGAGAGGTAGGGTTATCAAATTAAGAAGGTTACAAAATGATAACCACTGAGTCAGATAGCATTTCTCCAAAGGTTTTGAAGGATATTAAGGACTGGATATGTAAACCACTTTCTACAATTTTTTAAGTCCTTGAATAATGGGCAGTTGTCAAAAGAATTAAAATTGGCTAATGTTGCTTCTCTTTTCAAGGGAAGCGATAACAATTGGTCCACTAATTATAGGCCTATTTAGTCTTACAACAGTGGGAAAAGGTTCTGAACTTCTGATAAAAGATGCTTTGCACCATTTATCAAAATTTAAAATTTTAGTGGACAGTCAGCATAGTTTCACTAGGCACAAATCTTGCTTTACCAATCTTTTGAGGTTCTCTGAAGAGGTTAGTTCTTGTGTAGATGAGGATAAGTGTATCCAGATTTTCTAAAGCATTTGACAAGATGCCACATAAAAAGCTTATTAAAAATACAACCACCATAGGTATGGGGGATAAGTTGGCTCTTTGGATAAAAAAATGGCCACAAAAAAGCAGAGGGTTGCTATAAATGGAGTTTAGTTAAACTGGATTAATATCAAAAGTGTGGTACCTCAGAACTCAATGTTAGGATCTTTGCTCTTTTTGATTTGCATCAATAACATAAAGGAATAGCCAATAAATTACTGAAAGTTGCTGATGATTTTAGTCTTGGGTGTTGCTAGCTGCGAAAAGAATGATGCTACTGCTTCATAAAATGATTCAGATCATTTGGTTTGTTGGGCAGATGGCTTGTAGTTATGATAAATGCAAGGTAATGCATGTGGGTTACCATAATTTTCATCTTAAGTATAATATTGATGGAAATAACCTTAACAATGTTATGAAAGAAAAGGATTTTGATGTTCTGATTTATCAGTTTTTTAAGCTATCCAAGCAGTGTGCTTTTGCTATTACTAGAGCTAAAATGATTTTTAGGTTGTATCTACAGAAGTAATTAATACAAGTCTAAAAAAGTTGTAATTTCATTGTGTAGGTCATTGGTTAAGCAACATTTGGAGCACCATGTTCAATCTTGAGTTCCTTATCTTAGGAAAGAATTGTGTAAGACGATACCTTGAATGAAAAAGTTGTCATAGGAGGCCAGGTTAAGATCATCCAAACTTGTTTCTTGAAAAAAAAAAAGTGTTTCAGAAGTGGTTGAAGCATTAAATGTAAAGGAAAGCTGGATGAATATATAAATGACAACAAGCTGGACAGCCTACATCAGAGGTGCATAACATAAGGCCTACAGGCCAAATTTGGTATGCCAGCTCATTTTGTACACCCTCTGACACAAAATTATAGTGTGCAAAGTTGAAAATTTACATTTTTTTAACTTAATGGAAATATTTTTGTCTGTTATTGAATTTAAGAGTTTCTGCATCACAATTTAATAGCAATTTTGTCAAATACTCTTTAGAGTTAGTAGAAAGTGAAAAGGGCTAAAAAAATGTTTTGGAGGAAGAAATATTATGGCCCACCAAGTTTCAATAACATTCCAAATTGGCCTTAACAAAAATTGAGTTGTGCACCTTAGCCTAGATCCAACAAGCTCCTAGCTGCCCTTAAATGTTATGTTTAATATAGCTGATTTTAGTTTTTATTATTATGCTTTCATTATAAAGATTGTTTGCATTGCTATCTTAATATATATATTTAGGACTAACCTAAATCTCATAAGCTGGCTGAACCTTGTGAGATATTACTGGGATTATGGCCAAAAGTATTGTTAATAGCAAGGGTGCCCAACTGATGAAACAATGCATTCTAATGTTTATAAGTAAGAATTTAGGAAAAGTATATTTAATTAGTTACAGTCATCACCAATACCTAGTTGCATTGTCGTTTTCTCTAAGTAGATAGCTTGCTCTGATTGGAAGTCAACGTTAATAGTGTAATACAAAGTAGCAAGTATAACACTATACAGTAACCTTTCACAATTAAGATACTGTTACGTCTCCGGTTGTTAATTAATTTTCCGTAACTTCGTTCCGACGAAACTTAAGCGACACAAGTTCTTTCTTAATAAAAACTGGTTTATTCTTTTCGAATATAACTTTACCGAT